GCATCTAACTAATGGAGAAATGATGCTTTTCCCAATGATTGGACTGGTTCATGATGAGAACTGGTTGGGGTGTTGCTTTTTTTTCCATACCCTTCTCTTCTTTTGTCTGTCTTTATTTGTATGTGGATCTTTGGTTATTTGGGTTTTCTCCCATGTAAGATTGGAAGTATCTAGGCAACGTTTCGATGAAGTTTCATTCATCATCTTCAGGCTTGTGTCTTCGGCTCTGTGCTTCTCAGAGTAATGTGAGCTTGCAGCTGCTTCTTCCTTTTAACTGCTAGTGGGGATGTGACTTGATTGAGTGGGGGCTTGGCTGTGTTCTGATTGGGTGGGGGTGTGTTCTGATTGGTTGGGGGTTTGGCTGTGTTCTCATTGGTTGGGGGGTTGGCCGTGTTCTGATTGGCTGGAGGTGTGTTCTGTTCAGGTGGGGGCTTGGTTGTGCTCAGGTTAGTCTTAGTTGCTGGGGGATTTGAGAAGCATAGAGCTGAAGACACAAGCCTGAAGATGATGAATGAGACGTCATCGAAATGTCGCCTAGATACTTCCAATCTTACGCGGGAGAAAACCCAAATAACCAAAGATCCACATACAAATACCCGCGAGAACCTCAGAAAACATACACATATATATTCTTCTTGAAAATCCGATGGTATCTGACCTTTGAAGTAATTAAGGGATCTTCAGCTATAAACAATCCATATTCCAGTGATTAGTTCCCATTAATTATCCATGCTGAACTGTAAAGAAATAACTCTGTCTTACAAAGGAAGAGGAGGAGCAGGATCACGTAGTTGTATGTTTGCCAACATAAAATGACATTTTGGGGGCTTATTTGAAGTATTAGCAGGTTCCTGAGGGGCAAGGCTGTAGGCAAAAGGATTTCTGGATGATCATCGTCATCTTTTAATGACCCTATAATCCCTTGCCGGGTGGAGTCTAAGCAAGTGAATGGAGCTGAGTGTTTACTGGCCGGATGTCCTTCCTGTCGCCAATGCAGAGTTTTATTCAGCAGATGCATTCTCAGTGTGCCCAGAGAGAAATACCTGCCTCTACCTAGGATCGAACTCACAGCTTCCTGACTGTGAGTTGAGAGCTCCACCTCTAGGCCACTGCACCACTTAAAAAAGGATTTCTGGATGATGCCGCCTCTAAAATTTTTTCCAAATTCTGCATCCAACAAAAATCTTTATTAGTCAAGAGGATCAGGTTGCCTCTAGTAAGATTATTACATTCATGTTGAGGGCACCGAAGTGCTTCCAGGTTGAAAGGACTGAACAGTGACATCCCCATTGCTCCGAGGGTGCCCAGTTGAGGGCTCCTTTCATGTCCCCATTAAGTTGCCCGCCCAAGTGGCATCCATTTATCTGTTCATGGTGGCTTTAGAACTGCTAGGACAGCAGGAGCTGGAGCATGTGACGGGAGCTTGCCCCATCCCACTGCAACAACAGGGTCTCGAATGTGAACCTGTCGATCATCAACCCAGCGTCCTAATCCTATGAGCCACTGCACTTCTTGCCTCTCTCAAGATGGCCTCCAGGAACTTATTCAAGAGGCCTTGAAGAAAAACCAGGCCCGGTACCTGGCGGAAGAACTGAACTCCAGGTAGATGGACAAACAGGATGCTAGTCCTCTACTTACCTCTATTCATTTGGTGACTGTTACAGCGGCACTGAAAAAGGTGACTTACAACCGGTTTTCACACTTAACGAACATCATAGCATACCTCGGAGTCATGTGATAATCCTTCGTAACCTTCCCAGCCGTTTTCCAACCAGCAAACCCAATGGGGGAAAGGCAGATTTAGTGAACCATTCATTGCACGATTCATTTAACAACTGCAGTGTTTTACTAAAAGTGCTGTGGCAAAAAAAAAAAAGTCGTGAAAACGTGGTTGCTTAGCAATAGAGATTTGGGGCTGAGTTGTGGTTATAAACGGGCACCTGCTGTGCTTGCAAATGTGGTTATAAAAGGAAGGTGCTTCATTTATTGAAATAAAGTGAAAGGGGGAAGAGAGAGGAAGGGGTTGCTAAGGAGAACATCACCAATTTACTCTTTCTAGCCTTCAGTGCTTTGATCTGCCAGTCCTTGAAATTCCAAGGCAGCTTTTAAAATAATTTTCATTTCGCACACTGACGACAGTTGTAAATGAGAATTATCTAGAGCTGAACTTCTTCACAAGGACCCTGCTCTTGTGCTAAAAGAATAAAGTGGGAGAATAGTTGGAGATAAAGGAGAATATTTGTGGCTCGGGGTTGAAATGAGGGAGTCCTTGGTGCTGTCTGAGCCTGGTAGTTTTCTTGCAGATGCTTCATTACCAAACTAGGTAACATCATCAGGGCTAGTAAGGAATGGGGTTTGGTCTCAATTGATATTCTAGTGGCTTGCCTTGTCAAGGGTTGGTGGGAATGACCTTGGATGGTTGTTTACTTCAGCTTGTTTGGCAGTTCTTTGCACGGGATATTGCTTACTTCTTTTTTTAGTTTTTTATTTGTACATTTTTCTTTAACGTATATGAGTGCTTAATAAGCAGTGTATTGTCCGAGTCAATTTACAAATATATGGTAATAACAATAATAGAATTCTTTACTTTATATATAATGATATTCTTCCAATTTCCAATTTCTAATTTTATTATCTAACCATTGGTAAAAGAAATCCCACATTAAGAAGTATTCTGTGTCTTCTTTGTCCTTTATCTGTAATGTTAGCCTAACCATTTCCGCAGAGTCTACTATTTTTCTAATGATATTTTCCTCTGCAGGAGTTTCCTCATTTTTCCAATGTTGTGCAAATACAATTCTTGCTGCTGTGGATATTGTTTACTTCTTGATTGTTGGACTGATGTTAATCTTGGTGTTAACCACCAACTACCAAGCAAGCCAACCGCAAACAGCCCAATGAAAGAACTTCCAAAACTGCTCCCACCAACCCAGGCAGGGCAAGCCACTAGAATATAAATTGAGAGCAAACTCCATTCTTTACTAACCCAGATGATGTTAACTAGATTGGTAATGAAATGTCTGCAAGGAAACAACCTTGCTCAGAGGCCCTTGAATTGGTGAAGAGTATTTTTTTCCCCAGCATTTGGTTTTATCAGGTTTAGAAATGGAAGATGGGTTCTATTTGATTTTCTTTTGACTATGTCCAGTAACATTTGAAAACTTCAGCAGATAGGCTCTTGTGCTCCCTTTCTTGTTTTCTCAAATTTTTAAAGCCAGAGGCTCTTCTGTTCCCAAGATCTGTTCCCAAAACAGCAGATCCTAGAATAATCCACTTCTTTCTAGCCGGTGTGCAAGAGGAAGGACTCCAAATGACAGCTGCTAAACGATTAGTGTGCAACATTTTTTTCCCCCTTAAATCTCAGAAACTTGATGGACTGAAACCTGACATGGTTAAATAAAGAACCTCTGTATCAGTTGCTTCACTGGTTGATGGAGATCTGGGAGACAAATAGCTTTGTGCAACCCGAAGTCTAAGCAAGAGACAGGATGGGAAAACGCTAGAAATGAGCCTACTAGCCCTGTCACAACCTGTGATTGGTCACAACCTGAAATCACGCTTACAAGTGTACACAAGCGGCAGAATTTGTGTTGTGATGGGGCTAGGCTCATTTCATCGTTTTGACAAAACTGTCAGGTTTTGCACCTTACTCTGCTTTGCAACCGCCATTATTAGTGAGAAGGGGCACTTAGCTTGCCAGGTGACAGAAAAGAGGCTAAAGAAATGGAAAGGAGTTCATTTGCTAACGTGTATTTTTATGCCACATCAGTTTAGACAAATCTAAATGGCTTCCAGGCACAATCAAACACATAACAACATACTGACAAAATATGTAGCAGTGTAATCTATAAAGTTGTAAACATTCCAGTTAATTTCATCAAATCACAATACATACAGGAATAGCACCGTGGGTCTCCCTACATATCTAATTATGGCATCTTTAATTCCCCAGCCCTTGGATGAGTAACCAAGTTTTCAACAACTTTCTAAATATTAATTGTGCGGATGCAAAATCTACTTTATGTCACAGAGAGATTAGCCAAGCCAGAGGGAAGAGTCAAATGGGGAATTAGTCTGGAATCTCTTGTTGTGCTTTCAATGCTTGGTCCTCTGTTGTATTTGGGTGGTGGGTGGTGGGTGGGAATGGTTTTCTTCCATCAGTTTCTGTTCTGTTCATTCTCTGCTAGCAATGCCAGGGAATAGCTCCCTTTGGGAGGTGAACAACAGGGTATTCCCATCACTTACGCCACAGTGACAGTCGGGTTTCTGGTTAACTTAATTCCGGAGCCGTAGCACTTTGCTGAAACAGTAGGGGTCCTCCTCAGATATGATAGAAGCTCACCTTCCTCTTCTGCTCCCCCCTTCTCGACTTCAACTGTAAAACTATAAAATTACTTCTCCGCTCTTAATGGAGGCTTATTAGAATTCCACCATTCCTATCCTCCTGTAGTGATGCTCCTAAATCATGTTATCTCCACCACCACCTCCTCCTTCCCTTCCTCCTTCTTTTCTTCTTCCTCCTCCTCTTCCATTTCCTCCTCCTCCTCATGTTCACTCTTCCCCTTTTCTTCCTTCTACTCTCCTCTTTTCTTCAGTTTTTCTTCCTCATAATCTCTCATCCTCTTCTTATGTTCATCGTAGTCTCATTCTCCTCCCCTTCTCTTTTTTCTCTTTCGCCTTCTCTTCTACCTCTTTTCTTCAGTTCCTCTTCCTCGTAACCTCTCCTCCTCCTTCCTGTTCATTATAGTATCCTACTCTTCCTTGTCTCCTCTTTTCTTCAGTTTTTCTTCCTCACAGTCTCTCCTCCTCTTCTTATGTTCATTGTAGTCTCACTCTCTTCCCTTTCTCCTTCTTTACCTCTTTTCTTCATCTCCTCTTCCTCGTAATCTCTCCATCTCCTCCTTCTTTCCACCTCCTCCCTGACCTCTTTCATTCTTTCTGCATCTGAGAAAACCCAGCAATTTCTGAAACCTTTTTTGTTTTTCAATTTCTCTCCGTAGGTTGTTGTTTCATAACATTTTATACCAGAAAAGCGGCACTAGAAGCTCAGAATGCGCTGCACAATATTAAAACTTTACCTGGGGTGAGTATGTACACTTATTTTATTTCATTGGGGGGGGGGATAGAGGGAAGGAGGGGAGCGGGGGGGGCAGGGAGAGGAAAGGAATGGTTGCTTTTTGCATGAAAATGCTGCTTATTAGCTCGAAGTGTCCCAGATGGCTTTTGTCTCTGAGCAGAGGTTAATGACCTTGTGGCTAAGGTAGGTGATCTTTCCCATCTGGCACCTAATGGTGATCTTTGAGCCTGCATTTCCAGATGTAAGCCAGAGCAATAGATCATTATAAGTCTGTTGTGGTTTTAAGTGCCTTCCCAATTCCTAACAAATTGAGAGTCACAGTCCTCCATGGTTCTGTAAATCATTATCTGTACTAGACTGGCCTGCATAGCACCAGGGCAAGGGATGCTGGGAACTGTAGTTGAACAACTGTTGGAGACCTACAAGGTCCGTTCCAGAGAAACACATCAGGATTTTTTTTTGGGGGGGGGGTTGATTTTATTGTGATGGAACATTAATTCTTCTTGGAGGTTTGATTCCTAAAAGGGGTCAGGAAAAGCATCTTTTCTTGACAAGCTACTTTAGAGTTGGCACACAACCCTAGAATGCATTGGGTAAGTGTACAGCTGATTGCGTAGTGGTTATTTTTGCCTTAGCAAGGTCAGGGATGTGAAACTCGACTACATTGAGGGCCGCATCAGGGTTATGTTTGACCCTGATGCGGCCCTCAATGTAGGGTGGGAGTGTGGCCAGGAGTGGGCGTGGTCATGGTGGACGTGGCTGGGGTGGGCATGGGCATGGTGGATGTTGGACACAGGCTCAAGATGCGCTTTTCCCCTTATCTTCTGTCTTTCCAAAGTACACCTCAGCCTCCAGAAGCACTCTGCCGGTCAAAAACAGCCCACTCTGAGGCCCCACGAGGCCCACGCGTGGCCCATATTAGGTCTCCCTGGCCTACAGAAGCACTCTGCCAGCCAAAAACGGCCCACTCAGACGCCCCACAAGGCCCACGTGTGGCCCATATTAGGTCTCCCTGGCCTCCGGAAGCACTCTGCCAGCCAAAAACGGCCCACTCAGAGGCCCCACAAGGCCCACGCGTGGCCCATATTAGGTGTCTCTGGCCTACGGAAGCACTCTGCCAGCCAAAAACGGCCCACTCAGAGGCCCCACAAGGCCCACGCGTGGCCCATATTAGGTGTCTCTGGCCTACGGAAGCACTCTGCCAGCCAAAAACGGCCCACTCAGAGGCCCCACGAGGCCCACGCGTGGCCCATATTAGGTGTCTCCGGCCTACGGAAGCACTCTGCCAGCCAAAAACGGCCCACTCAGAGGCTCCACGAGGCCCACACATGGCCCATATTAGGTCTCCCCAGCCTCCGGAAGCACTCTGCCAGCCCAAAACGGCCCACTCAGAGGCCCCATGAGGCCCACGCGTGGCCCGTTTTCAGTCTCCCCGGCCTCCAGAAGCACTCTGCCGATCAAAAACCGGCCACACAGAAGCCCCATAATGCCTCTGTGCAGCCTTTTTTTGGCCAGCAGAGTGTTGCTGGACGCCAGGGAGGCTGAAAATGGACAGTGCAGGGAATGCATGCACCACCACACCCTGTGGCCCGTTTTGGCTGGCAGAGGTACCGCAGGCCGGTCCTTTGATATTTCCAGGCCGGCCCCAAAGGCCAGATTTAAGCCTTGAGTTTGACACCCCTGTGCTAGGTCGTTGCCCATTTCAGTTTGGTGGGAACTAACCCACAAATCTAAAATTGCCATGTTTGGAGGCTCCTTCCCTGTACCTTTATCTCTTCAGGACATGCATGCAACATTGCAAAGAGGACCTTGAACAATAATATTCAAGTGGCTGGCCCGCCCCTTGTCCCATTCTATGTGCATCCCTGTTGCCAGTTTACGGGCTTCCCAGTTGATTGACTGAAGACAAAAGCCGATTTTTTGTTTACCCTCACTGACGTCTTTGCACGCTGTGAAAAAGCACACGAGGCCAATAAGGAATGTTTATCTAAATATCAGTTATATGAACAGATGAGTAAATTTATTTTCGTCTCTGAAATGCTTCTGGGAAGCTCCCAGTAAATGAATGTTATCTTTTCACCAAAACCAAGATAAGCACAAAATATTCCTGCCTGAAATTCTCCACTGAGCACGAAGGTTTCAGGGTGGAGTAGTAAAGTTTTTCTGCAGAGTGCCAGGTCCTTATTTTGTGCAGCTAATCCCTAGATCGCAACTTCTTTGTGGTGTAAGGGTTGGAAATTTTAATTTTTTTTTAATCCTGAAGAAGTCAGTTGGGATTCTCAGTGAGACCAGGAATCCATTAGGATCTTCTTTAAGGGCAAAGAGGATTGAAATCTTATGTATAAATTCTAATAGAATTAATTTTCAGCCACTGGGGCTGGAAAATGCCATTAGGAGCCATCTTTCTTTTTTCTTTTCTTTTCTTTTCTTTTCTTTTCTTTTCTTTTCTTTTCTTTTTTCTTGCTCTTTCCAAGCAAAAGAATATGTGCTTTTGAGCACACAGGCTCAAAACAGTTTTGGTGCAATTAATGATTCTCAGCAGTAGCAGAGGGAGCCATGGAGGCAGCTGGTAATATAGAAACTGCAGAAAATAATGACAGTGACGCTACTATGCCATCAACAGGTGAGCAAGCAGGACAAGTCACGTCATAATGAGAATCCTGATCATGACCCATCAGTTGTGTCATGCTGATTTTGATTTCATAGATTTCCTATCAACTACAAATAGGGGGCCATGAGAAAATTTTGGTAGGCCACAGAGAAATCTCACCCCCAGAGCACCACCACCCCCCAAAGCAATTAATCCAGGCTGCATAGAAACACAAGGCTGCACCGTCCACATGGCCTGCGGGAACCCTCCCCACTCACTCCTTACCCAGCAAACTTGCCTGCTAAATTGCTATTTTTCTTTTTTTCTGACCATCATCTGTTCTGCTGTGCCAGGAGATTTAGATTAGCTAGGAAGCAGGAAATGTTGGGTTTCTTGCTTTCTAGCTAGTCTTTAGATCTTCGGCTCTGCTTTTAAGTACAGCCGAACCTCCCTTAGGACTGAAGGTTCTATTATTCAGTGCAGACTCACAGCAAGCAAATTTTATGTGACAGACTGAGCTAGTCAATGGCAGATAGATAGATCACTGAATGATTCTGTGAGCAACTCAATCTGCCTGCCTGCTTTGCCTGATTTTGGGTAAAAATTGCTCTTTTTTATAAAAAATTCAATATTTACATACATGGTGTATTGTGAGTTAATTTTGTGAGTTTGCTTGGAAGCAAATTTTATGTGACAGACTGAACTAGCCAATGGCAGATAGATAGATTTCTGAATGAATCTGTGATTCTGTGAGCAACTCAATCTGCCTGCCTGCTTTGCCTGATTTTGGTAAAACTTGCTCTTTTTAAAAAATAAAATATTCAATATTTATATAAATATTTATAATATTTACATACAAGCCATGCCCGCCACTCACATGACCACCAAGCCACACCCACAAATTAGGCCATGCCCACAGAACCGGTTAGTGGTCCCTGGGATTTAAAATTATGAGTTTGGTGGTCCCTGAGGTCCAAAAGGTTGGCGACCCCTGCTCTAGTGGTTAAGGCAACAGGCTGGAAACCAGGAGACTGTGCATTCTAGTTCTACTTTAGGCCTAAAAGCCAAGCCAGCTGGGTGACTTTGGGCCAATGATCAGGTGACTGTGAGTTCTAGTCCTGCCTTAGCCCTGACAGCTAGCTGAGTGACTTTGGGCCAATCACTAGGAGACTGTGAGTTCTAGTCATGCCTTAGGCCTAACAGGCAGCTGAGTGACTTTGGGCCAATCACCAGGAGACTGTGAGTTCTAGTCCTGCCTTAGCCCTGACAGCTAGCTGAGTGACTTTGGGCCAGTCTCTCTCTCTCTCTCTCTCTCTCAGCCCAATTCACCTCACAGTTTTGTTGTTGTGGAGAAAATTGGAGGAAATATTAAGTATGTTCATTGCCATGAGTTATCGATAAAAACAATAAAAACCAGGTAAAAATAAACAACTCCCAATGTTACACAGATCATGACATCATCCATCATCTAAATCAGGGGTCCTGAAACTTGGCTACTTTAAGACTTGTGGACTTCAACTCCCAGAATTGCTCAGCCAGCATAGCTGGCTGAGGAATTCTGGGAGTTGAAGTCCACAAGTCTTAAGGTGGCGAAGTTTGGAGACCTCTGATCTAAATAGTGATGTGTCATTTGTACGGTGTCATCATGTCTTGTGGTAAACACCTGTGGCTGGTATCGGTTATTTGGTGCCTCTGAGCAGTCCAGGAAAAAGCTCAAAATCAAATCCAAAAATTGGCTGAACCAAACAGAAGAGCTTTATTTATTCTTTGTCAAAGAAACTTGGGTTGGCCAGACTTAGGTGAATAGGAATTTTCCAACGGACTCAGGTTTATGACGGTTGCGGTGCCCCGGAGTCAGGTGATCTCTTTTTGCGACCTTCTAACAAGCAAAGTCAATGGGAAAACCAGGTTCGCTTAACAACCTTGTTTCTAATTTAAGAACGTCAGTGATTCACTTAACGGATGTGCTGAGAAAAGTTTTAAAGTGAGGCAAAACTCACTTAACAAATTGAGCAACATAAATTTCGGTCGTAAGTTGAAGACCAGCTCTATTTTGTTCCGGCATGTTGCCAATAGCTCCACGTTCTGCTCCTTTTCTTCTCTGGATTGCTAGAGCAGTCTTCTTTCACTTCAGGACTTCCCAGAGCCTACTAAACTGCAACTCCCATCATCCCCAGCCCAAATGATCCTTCTTTGTGCTATCTGGAAACATTTGGCATGTGGTTTAATATCCTTCTGGGCATCAGGTCAATGGAGGGAAGGCTGTTTTGGAAAAGATTAAAGCTTCCTGAATTTAGCACACGTAGGTTTAAATGTATGCTGGGGAAAAAAAAAACGTGACACAGCTTGTAATTTCACACATTTTCAGGCGCTGAGCTATATTTTGAACTGTGAATAGCAGTACAGGAGAAATTTT